AAGTTATATAAAAAAGAATAATGAAGTATATGATCAAGTAAAAAAATAATAAAGATAAGAATATGACAAAGGAATTAAGTGAATTTATTGACTCAAAAATAATGGAGAAGAGATAAAAATTACAATAGATCATATAATTATAGTAATTTATTTTCTCACACCATAAAATTGTATAGAAGAACCTAGTATTAATAGAGAACATGTAGGGGATGTCCAAACCTTACTACATCCCCTACTAGTAGAGTTATTGATGAATTAGGATACCAAAAAATCGAGTCCAAAACAAATTAAACCTCCCAATGAGCTTCCAAAATAAAATTTCAACTTGACATAGGATTACAATAATATTCCAAATTGAATTCTTCTTGGTGTGCACTTTAACTAGAATTCTTCAACTATTTCAACAAGGAATTCGAGTCACACTCAAATTTTAACAATCTCTACATTGACACGAATTCTACCAATGAATGAATTGACTTCTTCAACAATAACAAAAAAATTAATTTCTCCAACAAAACACAATACTCCACCTCTTTCAATGAATTCAAACACTACTCTACAGAATTATCTTAGATTCTCAAAAAATCATAATGATTTTAAATTAATCAAAATGGATTGTAACACACCCCCAAAGTAGAATCAAACTCAAATGCTTTTAAAGAATGCTCATTGCTAGATTGTACACCTTCTACTCAACTTAAAGCATGCTCAACAAAATCAGCATCCACGTACCCTTTTCCATGGGTCCGTTCCTAGCAATTGAAAACAATGGCACAACAGGTGATGGTGGCAAAGGGGCATTATCATATCTCCTGAACTTCACTGAACTGTATTATTCAATTCTGACAATTTATGAGCTCCTAAATGTATTGTACCAAACTGAATGTCCACCACGGTATTAAACCTGTGTTGATTGACTCTTCTAAATTCTGCACGACTCTGCAAAATATATAATTGAGACATTTTATGTCCCTCCAATACAATTTGGGCACCCTTACAATTCTTTAAAACTCCACCTCCACCAAAGAACTTATAACCTTTTGAATCAAGGATAGACAACGAGATGACATTTTTCTTCAAATTTGGAACATATCGAACCTAACCAAGTGTTCTAATTGTCTCATCCAAAAGTTTCAATCTGACTGTACCAATTCTAGCAACCCGACAAGATGCGTTGTTTCTCATAACCACGACACTATTGAAAATAGTTTCATATGTAGCAAACAATTTCTTATTACGACACATATGAAACATACATACTGAATCAAGAATCCAATCATCTTTCGATTTAAACTCAATGTCAGAGATAGCTAAAAGATCTGCATCACTTACAACGTTCTCCACGAG